ATGTCCAGGAATCAAGTTTAGCTAACCAGTTTCCCTGAATCAAATCATAAAAGTTACCCTGCTCACACTCCAAAAGCTCTCTATTAAAAAACCACTTGTCTCCATTCACTATCTAATAAACTCACACAAACCTGCTGGATGCTGAAGCCTCTTGTACCCCATCCCTTCGACCATTCATGGGATATCCCTCTCTCCCTTCTATCTTCCACCTCAGATTTATACACCTTTGTCAACCTATTCCTGTCCATCTTCTCTACATGCCCAAACTACCTCTCCAACCCCCTCCTCAGCTCTCTGAATTATATCCTTGGTCACCCCACACTGCCTTTTAATTTCTACGCTCATAAATTCTCTGCACGATATTCACACAACACACTGTCAAACATGACATATCCACTGCATCTAGCTTCCTTTTCAATGCAGCATTTAAGCCCCCATTCCTCAGACCCATGTAAAAGTGTTGGTACCACTACTCTGGTACATTCATGTTTCTGCCTACATATATAAACTTCTTTCTTTTCCATAGATACTTCAATACACTACCAACCTTTTTGCCCTCATCTATTCTATGGTTCACCTCATCTTTCACAGATCCATCTACTGACATGTCCACTCCCAAATACTATATCTAAATACATCCACTTCTTCCCACACTCTCTCCCTCCCACTGGCCATTGTGGGTCACTCAGTGCAAAGAGTGGTTGATGCATGAACCTCCATCCACTAAATATGTCTAACCAATCAGGCTATTGTAAGCAAATCATGATGTACATCAGTCAAGAATCAGGGATACATATATTAGCATACAGAAAAAGGAATGGTGATGTAATGGAAAGAAAGATAAGGAGTGAAATAAATATGACAATGAAGGTACAATGCTGTATAATCATGGACTAAACGCTAAATAACACCTGTGAATTATTCTTATACGGTATTCAAAATAAATGCACTAAACCTACATGGTCATACAGTGTTTAAGTTACTTGTGAAGGAAGTATATCTGAAGGAATGTGAAGGCAGGAGAGGAAAGCAGTAAAAAGATGAATAGAGAGAAATGTGCAAGAAAGAATGGAATGCATGTGAATACTGCACAAAGAGTGGCAATGAGCAAGACCTAATGAAGCAGGTTTTTAGAAGGGAATGACTGACATACTGTAGCAGCACAAACGGAATAATTTACACCTAGCCTTTAAAATTAGCGAGATAGTGCTGTGAATATGTTGCATGAATTTGGAGGTATTACTTAACCCTTTCAGGGTCCCTAGGCCCTCTCCGAGACTTGTTCTCAGGTTCGCCAAAATTTCAAAAAAAAAAAAAAATTATTTTTCTTATGAAAAGAGTTTTTTTTTTTTAATCTTATAGGCTAAACAAAAATTTTTTACCATCAATATTTACCGAGATATGGAGGCGTGAAGTTGACAGAAAATGCCTTGTATATGGTAACATCGCCGACTGCCGGTCACCCGGTATTACTTTATTTTTTTAGGTACTATTTTCTATTATTTTTTAATTTTTTTTCCAAGTAACTTTTATGGCCTGTGAGACCAATATGATCACTATTTTGTAAGTTATTTCTTTTTCTATACTACACAATAACTGCATAAACACTGTTGTCACTGTTTTGTTTACAGAAAATATTTACACAAACGATATGAAATGTTATTACTATTTTTCTATATTTTATATACACATATACAGTCACAGGACATGTTTCTAGAAGTTCTGCAGCCTGTGGAAGTCTTTGAAACATGGTGTCATGCACAGTGGTGTTTTACACTCCTCACACATAAAACAAGTGTCTGTGTTGTTGTGGGTGTTTTTTTGTATGTGCACAGACGTAACACCTCTTCTGAGCCTTTTTCTTGAAAGCAGTAGCAGGCAGTTTTACCAGGAAGTGATCACCATGCTTCAGACGAGAAGGTAGTTCTTGATAATTTAGTGGGCGGTCTATTGCAGGTGTCGTTCCTTGGTACTTGAATACTATTTGTCTGATGACAGACAAACAAAATTCGCCATATGATGGTTTGTTTCTGGTCCTCATCTTATACTTACTATAAGCATTGAACATGGAAATGTCCAGAAGATAGAAAAAGTTTTTGTACCACTTATAACTCTTGCAAACACAATCAGGAAACCCAATCTGCATGTCACATTTGTCCACTAAGCGCATATTGAGGGTGTAATTAATCACAGCTGCAGGTTTTAGAATGGGTTCATTGCTGTCTCTATGCTGCCTGCCAGTGTTTGCCATTTCGTTAGGGTGAATTGATGACAACAGTGTGACATCTCGTTTGTCATGCCACCGAAATGTCATGATGTCATTGGCAGGAAACGCCTGCACCTCACCTCTACGAGTGCCAGCGTCAAACCTGGGCATATGTTTATGATTTGCATGCACTGTGCCACACACATCTGTCATGTTCACTTACAAAAAATTGCTGAGTGAGGGGCTTGTGTACCAGTTATCAGTATATATAATATATGCCCCTTACCAAGGTATGGTTCTATCATTGTTCTAACCACATCACCAGAGATGCCCAATAACTTCCTGGTATTTTGCAATGTATAACTTCCAGTGTACACAATAATATCCAATATCAGACCACTGTAACAATCACAAAGTACAAATAACTTTATACTAAAGCGTTTCCTCTTGCTTGGTATGGACTGCTTGAAAGAGAGTCTTCCTTTGAACAGAATCAAAGACTTGTCAATTACAAGCTTCCTGAAGGGATAAAAATACATATTGAATTTCTCTTTCAGATACACAAACACATTCCTAATCTTATATAACCTGTCGTTTCTGTCAGGCCTGGTTTTGTCTGAGAAGTGAAGCATACGTAATAATAGCACAAATCGATTCACTCCCATTATATCACTGAAACCTGGGGTTGCAATCAGGCAGTCTGTTGACCAGTATGATTTCACAATGTGCTTATAAACATGTGGCATAAGCATTATTGTGGCAAAGAAAAGATACATCTCAGCCACAGTTGTCTCCTCCCACTTGTGTAGACGTGATTTTGGTGAAAGTATTATGTTTGCCATGGTGTACTCATAGTATCTGTTGCTTTCCCTGACAAAAATTTCCATCAGGGGTTCGTCAAAGAATAACTCGAAACATTCCAGTTCACTGGCATTGTTCCCAAGTGTACAACATGGCAGTATTCCACTTTGGCTTTCATCAAACTGGTGAGAATTTGGAACAAAATTGACAGCTTCCTGCCAATCCCAGGTGCGGTCTGCTGGTGGGTACTGGATATTGACAGGTGGTTGTGGTTGTGGAGGTTGTGGTTGTGGAGGTTGTGGTTGTGGAGGCTGGTGTGGTGGGTGGGTGGGGGATGGTGGCCTTTGTTGTAGATCAGCTGAGGCAGCGGCATGGGTGGCAGCATGGGTGACAGCATGGCCCACTGCTGGTGCCTCACGGCCGGCACCACCACTATCACCACCATACACATTTTCCATCCCAATTGCAACACTATCATCGTCATTTTCACTGTCTGTTCCTGTTGTACAGCCACAGGATGTACTCCGAGATGTACTCCTTCCCCTTGGAATAGCATATGGCACACTACCAGAGTGCATATATCGTCATATATACTGACGCTTCACTGGAGAATATTTCACTTCACTATCACTATTGGAACTGGTTTCAAGAGCTTGTAGTTCATATTCACTATCACTATCATCACCAATGCTCACATCTGAGTCCGGGATTTGAGAAAATAGGAGTTTCCTCTTTGATTCTGGTACAACTGAATGTGAACAAGACAGCCCAGCAGCAGAGGTGGAAGGCTGAGGGTCGTCTGGGTTTTCCTCACTTTTACCGATATTATGGTCATTAGTTTCAGTCACAACCTCACCAAAACCTTGAAACTCATCTTCATCTGTATTAGAACTGTCACTGGGGAACAAAAGTGTCCCAATTCACCGAGGAGTGAGGAGCTTCTTACCGCGAGGCATGGTGAACAAGGTCTACTAAAATGGTGTTCCCACAATGTGCCACTGGGTCCCAGATTTTTTTTCTACCGCGCACACTGACCACACACACCCATTCTCTCACATCTAGGCCTACCAGCCTTTTCCCATGAGATTTGAAGGCGCTAGAATTTATGCGGACTAGTACGTCAAAAACCCTGGTGCGTAAGCCGTACTAGTATGGCCGAAACCCTGAAAGGGTTAACTGTGACGTTTCCATGCATGCTGGATGTTATATTGGAATAGCCATAACTGACTATCTGAAAACCTCCTTTCCTACAATGGTTCTCTTCATTTATTGGTGAATGCCTTCCATCTACATGAACATTAAAGCTGATCTAATATCAGACATCAGTAATGGACAATAACTCAAAATTTGAAGATGAAACTCTAGAAGTTTTGGTCCATCCTTACTTGATAAAAGTCTAGACCAGTCCAAAACATCACCTAAAATTTCCTCTCCAAGTTGTGGGTTAATTATCAATTGTTACAGTTAGAAAACTGTGGTTTATTCTACATAGTATTAAAAGGCCCCTAAATACAGTGGCCCTAATAAAAGCAAAATGAGAATAGTAATGGAAAGCCTCACCCTATATAGCTATTTAACATTCTCATTAGTAAGACAATATGAACAATTTGTGTGTTAACCCCAGAGAGTTATTAATACAAAGGAATCCAAGAAAGTACAGGAATGTGGCTTATTATAATGAAGCCTTTTCTAACCCTCCTCCCTCAAGGGAGGTTCCCTGATACTGTGCTTCAATTCCTTGAATTGAGTCAGAGTTCCTTCCATTCCTCTAGGAGCTGTATGACCCCTATGGGTTTAGTCCTCCCCCATGAATGTAAAAATAATAATTCTAACCCCTCACCATATAAATAGAGCCTATTTTAACCTTCATATAAAATTATTAAAATATTACTAAGTGAACAGAGCATCTTCATCAAATTAAAATACTGTCTCTTTTCTTAGCCTACATCAGAACAAATTTCTGTTAAAACAATTAGTTACTCTTTGTACAAACCTGAAAAATGGGAGCCTCAGGATCTTTGTTGATAGCCACAATTGTCTTTGAATCCTTCATGCCAGCCAAGTGTTGGATAGCCCCACTGATTCCCACAGCTATATACAATTCAGGAGCCACAATTTTTCCAGTCTGGCCAACCTAAATGGTAAACTTCATTTATTTTTTTTTTCTATCATATTAGGCATTGTTTCAAATCTTCATTATAATGGTACTGTACTAGTATAATGTACAAACAGAAATCTTTAGATACAAATGCAGGCTTCAGCATAACTTAACAGAATTACTGATAGTTTTCTACTAGATTATGTAAAATAAATCTCAGCCAATAAATTGTACTATTTCTGTCAAATACTGTAAATTATATTTATAAATGCTATGCAGGCTGTATGATAATTACCTTACAACTCATATGTACACATCATACAAAATTTTTAATTTTTCTAAATGTGGGAAACAATGCATGCCTGCACAAGGGTATTTTTCATAAAAAAACTAATCGGGAAATTGCAAAGCACATGAGAGATTTTGTTTAAGAGGAAAATGGGGTGCTACAAGGCTCAGTGCTTCTTCCAATAATTTTTCTAATGTTTATGCTGGTAAATGACTTACCAGAGGAAATTAGGAACTATGTACATGAACTTGTAGATCATGCAAAAATCCCATGCAAGATAAATGACAAAAAATGACTAAACCTACAAGAAGACCTGGACAAATCATAACCAGAAAATGATAAAATACAAAGTGAAAAAAAAAACAGCTTTCAAATAACATTTACAGTATATGAATACAGAAATGCTGAAAAAAGCTGCTCACAGCATACATCAAACCAAAACTGGAAAGGCAGCAATTTTTTAGTGTCTGTACCTTAAAAAATATTTAGAGAGAGAAAATTCAAATACAAGCTATGGAATGGCTCCCAGTGTAAACAAAAAAATACAAGATAAAAGCACTGGTTATACCATCTGATAGAAGGTAGATATGCTAGCCATATTCAAGATCAGGGAAGATATGACAAAAAAAAAAAAATGAGAAGGAAGACTTCCTAACTCTAACTAGAATAACAAAGGCTATAACTACAAGCTAAGAAACAATAATTACTGAAGTGAGATTAGAATATTTTGCTTTGCAAACAGTGGTAGGTCCATGGAATGGGCTACAAGTGGAAGTAGTAAGTACCACAGCCACTGGAAACTTTAAAAACTTTATGACAGACTTAATGCTAAAGAAAAAATGTAATGCCAATAGTTTAGCTTTGCTCCTGCACCTACAAATAGGTTATTACACTGATTGCTAAATATTCATTATTTTTGTAACAATCATTCTGTTTTTAATTTCTCAATGACATTAAGTGCATAATTCCTTTTACCAGTACTTTACTATATTAATTTTAAAACCATTCTCATATATACAAAATACTTTTATGAATGTACTGTACCTGCATATCATTAGGAACAAAGCCTGCATCAACAGCTGCCCTAGATGCACCTACAGCTGCACTGAGTTTATCAGCAAGTGTGTACAATAACTGGAAGTTCTCTCCACTCTTCATGCCTCGACCTCCACTTATGACAGTCTAGAAGCAAATATCAAAACAAGGGCCTTTTACTACATGCAAATAAGAATATATACTTGTCAAAATACAGTATATCTATTTAAACTTAACCCTTAAACTGTCCAAACGTAGATCTATGTTCGCATGCGTAGTGCTCCGAACATTGATCTACATTCAATTTTACATTGTTTCTTATGTAAAAAAAAATGTAGATCTATGTTCGGAGCGCTACGCACACAAATGAAGATCTATGTTTGGACAGTTTAAGGGTTAATAACAAATTGGTGAATCAAGGACACAATTAGATTAAGACTTTTTTTTTTTTCAACAAGTCGGCCATCTCCCACCTACGCAGGGTGACCCAAAAAGAAAGAAAATCCCCAAAACCAAAATACTTTCATCATCATTCAACACTTTCACCTCACTAATACATAATCACTGTTTTTGCAGAGGTGCCCAGATACAACAGTTTAGAAGCACATATAAAGATACAATATAAAAAGTGACCTGAAATAATACAGTGGAACCTCGCCTAACGAACGCATCGCATAACGTTAAATCCGCCTAGCGATACATTTTAACGCAAAAATTTTGCCTCGGCTAGCGCTAAAAAACTCGCTCAATGCGGTTCATTCGAGACGCGTCCATGTGCGGCCTGAGCCCGCCTCACTTGTTCCGTGGGTGCCAGTGTTTACAAGTCAGCCACCGCAGTCGCTTCCAAGCATACAATCGGAACATTTCATATTATCACATCCTTTTAAGTGATTGCACCTGCAAAATAAGTCACCATGGGCCCCAAGAAAGCTTCTAGTGCCAACCCTACAGCAAAAAGAGTGAGAATTACTATGGATATGAAGAAAGAGTTCATTGCAAAGTATGAAAGTGGAGTGTGTGTCTCCAAGCTGGCCAGGTTGTACACAAAACCCCAATCAACCATTGCTAATATTGTGGCCAAGAAAACTGCAATCAAGGAAGCTGTTCTTGCCAAAGGTGCAACTTTGTTTTCGAAACAGAGATCGCAAGTGATAGAAGATGTTGAGAGACTGTTATTGGTGTGGATAAACGAAAAACAGATAGCAGGAGATAGCATCTCTCAAGCAATCATATGTGAAAAGGCTAGGAAGTCGCATGACGAGTTAATTAGAAAAATGCCTGCAACTAGTGATGATATGAGTGAATTTAAGGCCAGCAAAGGTTGGTTTGGGAGATTTAAGAATCATAGTGGCATACATAGTGTGATAAGGCATGGTGAGGCTGCCAGTTTGGACCACAAAGCGGCTGAAAAATATGTGCAGGAATTCAAGGAGTACATAGACAGTGAAGGACTGAAACCAGAACAAGTGTTTAATTGTGACAAAACAGGCCTGTTTTGGAAGAAAATGCCAAACAGGACGTACATTACTCAGGAGGAAAAGGCACTCTCAGGACATAAGCCTTTGAAAGACAGGCTTACTCTGTTGATGTGTGCCAATGCTAGTAGTGATTGCAAAGTGAAGCCTTTATTGGTGTATCACTCTGAAACTCCCAGAGTGTTCAGGAAAAACAATGTCCTCAAGGCTAATTTGTGTGTGCTGTGGAGAGCAAACAGTAAGGCATGGGTCACTAGGGACTTTTTCTATGACTGGTTACACCATGCATTTGCCCCACTGTGAAAAATTACCTAACTGAAAAGAAATTAGACCTTAAGTGCCTCCTGGTATTAGACAATGCTCCTGGTCATCCTTCAGACGTGGCAGAGCGACTTTCTGCGGAAATGAGCTTCATTAAGGTCAAGTTTTTGCCTCTTAATACCACTCCTCTCCTGCAGCCCATGGACCAGCAGGTCATTTCTAACTTCAAGAAACTGTACACAAAAGCTATGTTTGAAAGGTGCTTTGTAGTGACCTCAGAAACTCAAGTGACACTAAGAGAGTTTTGGAGAGATCGCTTTAGCATCCTCAATTGTGTAAACATTATAGGTAAGGCTTGGGAGGAAGTGACTAAGAGGACCTTGAACTCTGCTTGGAAGAAACTGTGGCCAGAATGTGTAGACAAAAGGGATTTTGAAGGGTTTGAGGCTACCCCTGGGAATCCTATGCCAGTTGAGGAATCCATTGTGGCATTGGGGAAGTCCTTGGGGTTGGAGGTTAGCGGGGAGGATGTAGAAGAGTTGGTGGAGGATGACAATGAAGAACTAACCACTGATGAGCTGCTAGATCATCTTCAACAGCAAGAGGCCACACCTGAGGAAACTGCTTTGGAGGAGGGGATAGAGAAATTGAGGAAGTTGCCTACTTCAAAGATTAAGGAAATGTGTGCAATGTGGCTTAAAGTGCAAACCTTTTTTCATGAAAATCACCCTCACACTGCTATTGCAAGCCGTGTTGGCAACCTGTACAATGACAATGCTGTGAAACACTTTAAGAATGTCATAAAGGAACGGGAGGTACAGGCCTCTATGGACAGATATGTTGTGCGACAGAGGTCCAGTGACTCTGAAGCTGGTCCTAGTGGCATTAAAAGAAGAAGGGAAGTAACCCCGGAAAAGGACTTGCCACCTCAAGTCCTAATGGAAGGGGATTCCCCTTCTAAACACTAACACCATCAACACTCTCCCCTCCTCCCATCCCATCAATCATCACCAGATCTTCAATAAAGGTAAGTGTCATGTAACTGTGCATGTCTTCTTCAGTTTGTGTGTATTAAAATTAATATTTCGTGTGGTAAAAGTTTTTTTTGTTCATACTTTGGGGTGTCAGGAACGGATTAATTTGATTTCCATTATTTCTTATGGGGAAAATTAATTCGCTTAACAATAATTTCGCCTAACGTTGAGCTCTCAGGAACGGATTAATAGCGTTAGGCGAGGGTCCACTGTATAATAAACTCCATACAGAATATAATATCAGGGCACCAATTATATATATACCGTCCTATTACACATCCCTCCAAACTGGCAATATCCCAAACCCCTCCTTTAAAGTGAGGGCACTGTACTTCCTCTTTCCAGAACTCAAGTCCGACTATATAAAAATAACCGGTTTCCCTGAATCCCTTCACTAAATATTACCCTGCTCACACTCCAACAGCTCGTCAGGTCCCAAAAACCATTCGTCTCCACTCAATCCTATCCAACACACTCATGCACGCTTGCTGGAAGTCCAAACCCCTCGCCCACAATACCTCCTTTACCCTCTCCCTCCAACCTTTCCAACCTTTCCCTACAGCTTTATACGCTCTCCATGTCATTCTACTTTGAGCCATTCTCTCTAAATGACCAAACCACCTCAACAACCCCTCTTCGGTCCTCTAATACTTATATTAACTCCACACCTTCTATTAATTTCCACACTTCGAATTCTCTGCATAACATTTACACCACACATTGCCCTTAGACAGGACATCTCCACTGCCTCCAACCGCCTCCTCGCTGCAGCATTTACAACCCAAGCTTCACACCCAAATAAGTGTTGATACCACTATACTTTCATCCATTCCCTTCTTTGCCTCCACTGATAATGCTTTTTTGTCTCCACATATACCTCAATGCACCACTCACCTTTTTTTCCCTCATCAATTCCATGGTTAACCTCATCCTTCATAAACCCATCCGCTGACACATCAACTCCCAAATATCTGAAAACATTCACTTCTTCCATACTCCTTCTCTCCAAAGTGATATCCAATTTTTCTTTATCTAAATCATTTGATACCCTCATCACCTTATCTATGTTTACTTTCAACTTTCTACCTATACACACCCTCCCAGACTCGTCAACTAACCTTTGCAACTTTACTTTAGAATCACCCACAAGCACAGTATCATCAGCTAAAAGTAACTGTGTCAACTCCCATTTTGCTTTTGATTCCCCAAAATTTAATCCCACCCCTCTCCCCAACACCCTAGCATTTACTTCTTTTACAACCCCATCTATAAATATATTAAACAACCATGGTGACATTATTTACCTTAACCCTTTGACTGTTCTGGTTGTATATATACATCTTACGAGCCACCCTGTTTGATGTATATATACTCATAAATTCTAGCGGCTTCAAATCAAGCAGGAGAAAGCTGGTAGGCCCACCTGTGAGAGAATGGGTCTGTGTGGTCAGTGTGCACCATATAATAAAAATCCTGCAGCACGCAGTGCATAATGAGTAAAAAAGAAATTCCGACCGTTTTTTTAATTAACCCTTAATCTGTCCAAACAGATCTACATTCACATGCATAGTGCTCCAAAAGTAGATCCATGTTTTTTTACATATTTTCAAATATAACCAAAAAAATGTAGATCTAAGTTTTTTTACACGTTTTCAAATGTAAAAAAAAAAAGGAGGTCTACATTTTTTTACATTCAAATGTTGAAAAAACATAGATCTACGTTTGGACAGTTTAAGGGTTAAAATGCCGACTTTGTGGTCTATTTCCGTATAGTATTTATGGTTGTATTCTTGTTTTCTTGGTCTCATTTGATAGAATGGAAAACATATTATAGAAATAGAGGTGATTTTGATTGGTTTTACTATGAAAAGAACCTTGAAATGGAGCTCAAAGTAAGGGAAATGTTTGATTTTTGCCGATGTTCAAGAGTAAACAAATGTCATTTTCCAATAAATGTCCAAGTAGCTATTCTAATATGCAGTCATGAATGGGTTGACATTATTTATACAATTATTACAATATTGCAGTAGTCTGCATAACAGTAAATCTTCTATTTTTTGTTTGATTAAAAATTCAAAATAGAAAGTAAGAGTAATAATATCAGAGGGGCCTGGAGATGTGACTGATGAACAAAAAAAATTTTATTTTAAAGCCAGGAATGTCTGCATTGCTCATTCTGGACCCTATTTTGAAATTGTCATATTTTTTAATTTTTGTGAAATTGGCCAAATTGCAAATTTCTGACTACGTTATTGGGTAGTTGAAATCGGTAAATGGGCAGTTTCTTGTACTCATTTGATAGAAAAAATGGAGTTCTAAAGAAATAGCTATGAGTTTGGTCGACTGGAACAATGGAATTAGGCGAAAATAGGGCTCAAAGTGGGCAAAATCGCCGATTTGTAAATATCGCCGAGGTCGCTAACTTCATGAGAGCATAATTCCATCAGTTTTCCATCAAATTTCATTCTTTTGGTGTCATTACAATCAGGAAAAGATTCTCTACCATTTCATAATTTTTTTTTTCTTTTTTTTGGAAATTTTGCGACACCAGGAGACACCTCAGAATTTGGGGTTGCAACAGTCAATGGATTGATTACATTTCACTTGCTGTGAGACTAACAAGTATTCAAGGTCTACAGTATGTGAAACACCATTAAATAAAAGGATTACTGTTCACTGTATATCTTAGAATCCCATTTGCTGACGTTTGCTATCTACCAACAAATACGTATAGAGAATTAGTTATCAAAATGAGACTTTTTTTTTTTTAACACACTGGCTGTCTCCTACCAAAGTTAGGTAAACCAAAAAACAAGGAAATACATTCACCATCATTCATTCAATAACTCTTGCCAAAAGTCCAGAGACATCACAATTCAAATGACCTTCCAAACTACAACAAACCCATTCCTCCGTCAGAGTGCAAGCACTATACTTCCCATCTCTAGGATTCAAGTTTGGCTAACCAGTTTTCCTGAATCCTTTCATAAATGTAACTCTCCTTACACTCCAACACTATATCAGGCCATAACAACCACTTGTCTCCACTTACTTGAATCTAAAATGCTCTTACACCCTTCCTGGATGATTAAACCCATAGTATTAAATCTCCTTTGTCCCCTTCCTGCAACCTTTCTTTGGACAACCCTTACCCCTCCTTCCTTCCACCCCAGAATTATACAATCCTCTTAATTTCCCAAAAACACAAAATAACAGTCTCACAAAGGGCAAATAATATACACATTGTGAAAAAACTCATGGAAAATATTTGTCTATTTTATTAAAAAACTTAAATGGTATATGAACTTACAAATGGAACTAACTTTTTTTAACACATCACTGAGGAAGGGTGACCCAGAAAAGAAACACTTTTACCATCATTTACACATCACTGTCTTTGCAGAGGTGCCAGATATGATAGCTTAGGTGTCACTCCAAACAGCCAATATCCCAAACCCCTCCTTTAAAGTGTGGGCATTGTACTTTCCACCTCCAGGACTCTAAGTCTGGCTAACTAGTTTCCTTGAATCTCTTCACAAAATATTACCCTGCTCACACCCCAACAACTCATCAGGTCCCAAAAAATATCTGTCTCCATACCGGTAATTAATATTTCTAGAACCATAATTTCTGCCTCAAATTGCTGCAACACCCTTTAACCCTTTCAGGGTCGAGAGGCCCTCTCCTAAACTCGTTCTCAGGGTTGAAAATTTTTCGGAAAAAACAAAAAAAAATTATTTTTTTCTAATGAAATGATAGAGAATCTTTTCCCAATCATAATGACACCAAAAGTACGAAATTTGATAGAAAACTTACAGAATTATGCTCTCGTGAAGTTAGTGGTCTCGACGATGTTTACGCATCGGCGATTTCGCCCACTTTGAGCCCAATTTTCAGCCAATTTCAGTATACTAGTCAACAAAAATCATATCTATTTTGCTAGAACTCCATTTTTTCTATCAAATGAGTACAAGAAGCCACCCATTTACCAATTTCAAGTATCCAATAAAGTGGTCAGAAATTGGCAATTTTGCCAATTTCACACAAATTTCAGAAGATGCCAATTTCCAAATAGGGTCCAGAATAAGCAAGACAGACATTCCTGGCACTAAAATAACATTTTCTCTGTTCATTAGTCACGTCCCCAGGTCCCTCTTACATCTCTTTTGCTTTCCACTTTGAAATTTTATTCTCAAAAAATAGAAGATTTACTGTTATGCAGACTACTGCATTAGTATAGAAATAGTGTAGAAATGGTATAAATAATATAAGTGCAATTGTGAAAGAATATTAGACTCACCAGTTGATGTGTTTTGGACACTTGGCATAATTTGTTTACTCTTGAAATTTGGTAAAAATCAAACATTCCTGCTATTTTGAGCTCAATTTCAAGGTACATGTACTTTTCATTATGAAACCAATTAAAATCATCTCAATTTCTGTAATATGTCTTCCATTCTATAAAATGAGACCAGGAAAACTAGAATACAACCATAAATACCATATGAAAATACACTGCAAAGTCTCTCTTTTAAACCAAAAACACGGTCGGAGTTTTTTTTTCCTCATTATGCACTGTGTGCTGCAGGATTTGTTTTATACTGTCCACACTGATCACACAGACCCATTCTTTCATATGTAGGCCTACCAGCTTTCTCTCACTAGATTTGAAGGCACTAGAATTTAGGCATTCTAGTGCGTCAATAACCCTGGTGCGAAAGCCATACTAGTACGTCGGAAACCCTGAAAGGGTTAAAGCTGTGATCAAAATTTTTTACACAAATCTACCCATCTGGAGTATGTACTGTCAGTAACTATGTGATGTTTCAACAAATCCACACATTGATAATGATCTGGACAAAAATTTTAACTGCATGAATAGAAACAATAATTTGTGTCTTTTCACTGATACAAAATGCACTCTAAAATTAGGGTGTATTCATTTCATGAGTTAATGAGAAAATGCTTGATGAAAATAGCACTAATAAGAAAAACTGACCTTAGCAGCAGTTAATTCTGGACGGTCAGATTTTGATAATTCCTGACCGATGAATGCTGACAAACCAACAGGGAGGTCAGTTACTGCCACATCCTCACTACTAGTATTTCCACCCTCAAGACTAGCTGCCTCAAAGTTGGTCCCTCTCACTGTGATAACCTGGAATAAGACTGTATGTTTGACATACTGTATAAACAAGTGGGGCAATATGAACAGTAACTTCTAAACATTTACAAGATTACAGATCATTATTTTAAAGTCATTTCATTTTATTGTGGAAAACTTTGCTATTCATGATATAAACTCAAACATTTGTGACTTCTGTAGTTTACCTCATCTTTCATAGACATCTTTTCCTCCCCACATGACAGATCCACTTCCAAATATCTGAACATATTTACTTCCACAATATTTCCTCCCTCCAATCTTATATCCAGTCTTTCACTGTCAATATTTTTTGTTACTCTCATCACCTTGCTCTTATGTTCACCTTTAATTTCCATCTTTTACATACCCTCCCAAATTGCTCCACCAACCTTTGGAACTTCTTTTTAGAATGTCTCAAAAGAACTGGGCCATTAATTTTATAAAATACTGATTGTAGTATTATCTGCACTGAAACTTATCAGAATTCAATGAAGACTTAATAAAATCTGGTTATAAAATACTAAATCTAACACCTAGTTTTTTTTTTTTTTCAATGAACAGGCCTTATCTCACTAAAGCAGGGTGACCTAAAAAGAAAAACAAAAGTTTCTCTTTTTAAATTTAGTAATTTATATAGGAGAAGGGGGGTCACAAGCCCCCTTGCTCCCGGCATTGTAGTCGCCTCTTACGACATGCATGCTTACACAGGAAGAATACTGTTCCACTTCCCATGGAGATAAGAGGAAATAAACAAGACCAAGAACTATGAAGAAAATAAAAGAAAACCCAGAGGTGTATGTATATTCAGTAGGGCCCCACTTATACAGCAGGTTAGGTTCCAGGCTACTGCTGTGAAGTGGAACACCTTTTTTTTTTTCCACTTATATATGCATATAAATACTGATGAATAAATAAATAAATAAATAAATGATGTAGGGCGAAATGACAGTAGTTTGTTGGATTATGTATTGGTAGATAAAAGACTGTTGAGTAGACTTCAGGATGTACATGTTTATAGAGGGGCCACAGATATATCAGATCACTTTCTAGTTGTAGCTACACTGAGAGTAAAAGGTAGATGGGATACAAGGAGAATAGAAGCATCAGGGAAGAGAGAGGTGAAGGTTTATAAACTAAAAGAGGAGGCAGTTAGGGAAAGATATAAACAGCTATTGGAGGATAGATGGGCTAATGAGAGCATAGGCAATGGGGTCGAAGAGGTATGGGGTAGGTTTAAAAATGTAGTGTTAGAGTGTTCAGCAGAAGTTTGGGGTTACAGGAAAGTGGGTGCGGGAGGGAAGAGGAGCGATTGGTGGAATGATGATGTAAAGAGAGTAGTAAGGGAGAAAAAGTTAGCATATGAGAAGTTTTTACAAAGTAGAAGTGATGCAAGGAGGGAAGAGTATATGGAGAAAAAGAGAGAGGTTAAGAGAGTGGTGAAGCAATGTAAAAAGAGAGCAAATGAGAGAGTGGGTGAGATGTTATCAACAAATTTTGTTGAAAATAAGAAAAAGTTTTGGAGTGAGATTAACAAGTTAAGGAAGCCTAGAGAACAAATGGATTTGTCAGTTAAAAATAGGAGAGGAGAGTTATTAAATGGAGAGTTAGAGGTATTGGGAAGATGGAGGGAATATTTTGAGGAATTGTTAAATGTTGATGAAGATAGGGAAGCTGTGATTTTGTGTATAGGGCAAGGAGGAATAACATCTTGTAGGAGTGAGGAAGAGCCAGTTGTGAATGTGGGGGAAGTTCGTGAGGCAGTAGGTAAAATGAAAGGGGGTAAGGCAGCCGGGATTGATGGGATAAAGATAGAAATGTTAAAAGCAGGTGGGGATATAGTTTTGGAGTGGTTGGTGCAATTATTTAATAAATGTATGGAAGAGGGTAAGGTACATAGGGATTGGCAGAGAGCATGCATAGTTCCTTTGTATAAAGGCAAAGGGGACAAAAGAGAGTGCAAAAATTATAGGGGGATAAGTCTGTTGAGTATACCTGGTAAAGTGTATGGTAGAGTTATTATTGAAAGAATTAAAAGTAAGACGGAGAATAGGATAGCAGATGAACAAGGAGGCTTTAAGAAAGGTAGGGGGTGTGTGGACCAGGTGTTTACAGTGAAACATATAAGTGAACAGTATTTAGATAAGGCTAAAGAGGTCTTTGTGGCATTTATGGATTTGGAAAAGGCGTATGACAGGGTGGATAGGGGGGCAATGTGGCAGATGTTGCAGGTGTATGGTGTAGGAGGTAGGCTACTGAAAGCAGTGAAGAGTTTTTACGAGGATAGTGAGGCTCAAGTTAGAGTACATAGGAAAGAGGGAAATTATTTCCCAGTAAAAGTAGGCCTTAGACAAGGATGTGTGATGTCACCGTGGTTGTTTAATATATTTATAGATGGGGTTGTAAGAGAAGTAAATGCGAGGGTCTTGACAAGAGGCATGGAGTTAAAAGATAAAGAATCACACATAAAGTGGGAGTTGTCACAGTTGCTCTTTGCTGATGACACTGTGCTCTTGGGAGATTCTGAAGAGAAGTTGCAGAGATTGGTGGATGAATTTGGTAGGGTGTGCAAGAGAAGAAAATTAAAAGTGAATACAGGAAAGAGTAAGGTTATGAGGATAACAAAAATATTAGGTGATGAAAGAATGGATATCAGATAGGAGGGAGAGAGTATGGAGGAGGTGAATGTATTCAGATATTTGGGAGTGGACGTGTCAGCGGATGGGTCTATGAAGGATGAGGTGAATCATAGAATTGATGAGGGGAAAAGGGTGAGTGGTGCACTTAGGAGTCTGTGGAGACAAAGAACTTTGTCCTTGGAGGCAAAGAGGGAAATGTGTGAGAGTATAGTTTTACCAACACTCTTATATGGGTGTGAAGCATGGGTGATGAATGTTGCAGCAAGGAGAAGGCTGGAGGCAGTGAAGATGTCATGTCTGAGGGCAATGTGTGGTGTGAATATAATGCAGAGAATTCGTAGTTTGGAAGTTAGGAGGAGGTGCGGGATTACCAAAACTGTTGTCCAGAGGGCTGAGGAAGGGTTGTTGAGGTGGTTCGGACATGTAGAGAGAATGAAGCGAAACATAATGACTTCAAGAGTGTATCAGTCTGTAGTGGAAGGAAGGCAGGGTAGGGGTCGGCCTAGGAAAGGTTGGAGGGAGGGGGTAAAGGAGGTTTTGTGTGCGAGGGGCTTGGACTTCCAGCAGGCGTGCGTGAGCGTGTTTGATAGGAGTGAATGGAGACGAATGGTTTTTAATACTTGACGTGCTGTTGGAGTGTGAGCAAAGTAACATTTATGAAGGGGTTCAGGGAAACCGGCAGGCCGGACTTGAGTCCTGGAGATGGGAAGTACAGTGCCTGCACTCTGAAGGAGGGGTGTTAATGTTGCAGTTTAAAAACTGTAGTGTAAAGCACCCTTCTGGCAAGACAGTGATGGAGTGAATGATGGTGAAAGTTTTTCTTTTTCAGGCCACCCTGCCTTGGTGGGAATCGGCCAGTGTGATGATAAAAAAAAAAAAAATACTAGATAAGTTTACACTAACATATATTAAGTTAGCAACAGAACTAGGCATTAAAAAAAAAAACAATAAAAAAGTAAAATACACATATAGTACACTCATTACTTACCTTAAAATATTTGTAGTCTTAATCTAGGGTGAGATGAGTAGTATTTATTGTAAGAAATCAAATGTGGTATGTATGGTAGTCAGCCAGGCTACCATACCAGGCCACCCCACCCACACATAATATTCTATGACATTTAAGAATCCCAGAGCGATAAAATACATATACAGTTCACTCATTACTTACCTTAAAACATTTGTAGTCTTAATGTAGGGTCAGATGTAAACGAGATAAAACGAATATATGAGAGAGAGAGAGAGAATGAGTGCATGAGAGAGGACAGGCGCGAAGTTATGTAAACAAACCAGGCGAACACGTCTAGTTTGTATACAAGTTACATTGTGTGCAAGTTGTCTCTACATTGATACGGTAGAATAAATAAAGAGGAACACTCCTATTCTCATGTAGCACCATTTTTAGAAGAAATGACACTCTGAGTGAAGGCATACGAAAGGAATAATTTTCTACAGTTAGCCCCAGTAACACATTTTCTCTTATGTTGGACTAGAGAAAACGTTATTCTTGCCGTCACTCGTACAACTTGTCTGGCTACCATATCTCAAATTTACGTTAATTTATTCTACTGTGGGGTATATTTATCATCTTTATATGTTACGTCTCCATGGGGAAGTGGAACAGAATTCTTCCTCCGTAAGCCATGCGTGTCATAAGAGGCGACTAAAATGCCGGGAGCAAGAGGCTAGTAACCCCTTCTCCTGTATATATTACTAAATGTAAAAGAAGAAACTTTCGTTTTTCCTCTTGGGCCACCCCGCTTCAGTGGGATACGGCCGGTGTGTTGAAAGAAAGAAATATGTTACGTATCATTTTTATTGTATAATTTTGAAAAAATATCATAGATGGATTAATGAAAATGTGTACAGTATAACATAATATATGACACTTAGTAGGTAGTAGGTTGGTAGACAGCAACTACTTAGGGAGGTACTACCATCTTGCCAAGTGAGTGTAAAACGAAAGCCTGTAATTGTTTTACATGATGGTAGGATTGCTGGTGTCCTTTTTTCTGTCTCATAAACATGCAAATTTCAGGTACGTCCTGCTACTTCTACTTACACTTGGGTCACACTACACATACATCTACAAGCATATATAGACACACCCCTCTGGGCTTTCTGCTATTTTCTTTCTAATTCTTGTTCTTGTTTATTTCCTCTTATCTCCATGGGGAAGTGGAACAGAATTCTTCCTCCATAAGCCATGCATGTTGTAAGAGGAGACTAAAATGCCAGGAGCAAGGGGCTATTAACCCCTTCTCCTGTATAAATTACTAAATTTGAAAAGAGAAACTAGTTTTTCTTTATGGGCTACCCTGCCTCGGTGGGATACGGCCGGTTTGTTGAAAGAAAGAAGATACGACACTTAATGAGACTTAGTGATTATTATTATCATTACTAACATGGCATCTCTTACTGATTTTAATGTGTACCTGCATGCCAGCACAATAAGTTTATTTAGGTATACATATATATAATTATCAGAGTAGACATATATAAATATGAAATAACTTTTAAAAACAATTGAAATTTTGGAGTCTCCAGACATAATGGAGAGATCTGGTGCTTACGGAGCTCACAGAGAATATAAACAAACCAAGTGGGATGCGGTGACTGTATTAGAAAGTCAAGTGGGGGCAGCCGTATAGCGAGTTTTGGTCATAATTTGAAATGTCCGTATTAGCAGAACGCCTTAGAACAAAATGCTGTAAAGCAGGGCCCTACTGTATATGTTTACCTGGATGTACATGCATGTGTAGTGTGACCTAAGTGCAAGTAGAAGTAGCAAGATATACCTGGTATCCCAGGTGTTTCTGAGATAGAAAAAAATACACCAGCAATCCTAAGATCATGTAAAACAATTACAGGTTTTCATTTCCAGGAATATCAAATTAATTTTGTGAACGTACAATGTTAAAAACAAGTGTTTTTTAAACATATATTCAGTATTAAATCTAACAAGTATAGTAACTCAGGGAACAGACAGGGTTCAAACCTATGGCAAACAGGTCCTAAAACATGCAGGCCAATCCTCTCAATAGTAGTTCACACAGGCTTAACACTTTGCCATTTGCCTGAGTTATTTACAATCATGTAATATAAGACATTATATAACTCTAAACTACAAGTGTATCAAATATGAAGAAATTTATTCTATAATTTCCGAAAATTTGACCAAAAACATCTAATGAAAAAGAGTGATATTCTGAAGCAATCAAAATAGAAACACTGTACTGTACAAATTGGCCATCACTAATCCGGTATCATTGGGACCTGTAGTGTTCCGGATTAGTGAGTTTGCCGGATTACAGAGTGGTTAGGTTAGAATACACTTAACCTATCAGTAGAGACTTTTTGCTACATCTTCCTCATTTTCATCGCTGCTTTCTCCTCCACTGGCTTGTTGCTGTAGATTTACAACCATCTGCACACTTTCTGAGTCAGTATAATGATGAAATTTGAAATTATGCTAGCCAAAATTAGTGCCGGATTACTGATGTAATCGGATAACCGATTAGTGATGGCCAACTTTTATTTCATTTTAAGGAAAATTACAGATGTATGTAAAACCCATGGAATTTACAGTATACAGTACAGTATACTTTACATGCTGAAACTAACCTTAACTGGATCCTTACTCTTGAGAGTCATAAGGGCATTACCAGCGTAAATGGAGCGAACAAAGGTATCGGGAGCCTTCACCTCGATAATGTCACTAATTGGCGAGACGTCAAGCTTGGCAGCAACACGGGGTAGCAGAGATTTACTCTGTGCAGAAGCACCAGCTGTTTGTAAGCACACAAACCTTAGAAATATAGCACCGCACAGCTCACATTTCACTGATAATTACAACGGGTAACTAATCATACTTCGACTCTTCTTGAAGGTGTTCTAAATTCAACCCAAAAGTTGTATTATCTCCAAAGTTGTATCATCAGTAATGAACACTTTTGCTATGTTTAAGTGATAATCTCTAATTTGGAAATCCTGCATTATCAAATTGCTTTTAATATACTGTATATAGCAGGAGATCTGCTGGGAGCACCAGTGGTGAACTAGGTTAACTGTGTGTGTCTGCTTCAATGGTATTCACTACCTGTGAATAATAGTTAAACCAGTATAGGTCACAGGGTGCAATGCCAAATACATTTCTTTGTGTACAAAACATTAAACAATTTAATTTGTGCAGCAAATCCCACTTAATAACCATTCCTAATTTTTTTTTTTTTAAACAAGTCGGCCGTCTCCCACCAAGGCAGGGTGACCCGAAAAAAAAAGAAAATCCTCAAAAAGAAAATACTTTCATCATCATTCAACACTTTCACCTCACTCACACATAATCACTGTTTTTGCAGATGTGCTCAGAACACAACAGCATAGAAGCATATATATGTATAAAGAGACACAACATATCCCTCCAAACTGCTAATATCCTGAAACCCCTCCTTTAGAGTGCAAGCATTGTACTTCTCATTTCCAGAACTCAAGCCCGGCTATATAAAAATAACTGGTTTCCCTGAATCCCTTCACTAAATATTACCCTGCTCACACTCCAACAAATCGTCAGGTCCCAAATACCATTCGTCTCCATTCACTCCTATCAAACACGCTCATGCACGCCTGTTGGAAGTCCAAGCCCCTCGCCCACAAAACCTCCCTTACCCCTTCCTTCCAACCTTTTCGAGGACAACCCCTACACTGCCTTCCTTCCCCTACAGATTTAAATGCTCTTCATGTCATTCTACTTTGATCCATTCTCTCTAAATGACCAAACCACCTCAACAACCCCTCTCCAGCCCTCTGACTAATACTTTTATTAACTCCACACCTTCTACTAATTTCCACACTCCGAATTTTCTGCATAATATTTACACCACACATTGCCCTTAGACAGGACATCTCCACTGCCTCCAACCACCTCCTCACTGCTGCATTCACAACCCCAAAAAAATAAAATAAAATGAATAATTGTAAGCAATTTTCCTAATCAATCAAAATATAAAAATCCACATTTCTTGACCAAACTGTACCAAACAAACAGGAGCCCACAAAACTTACACTAAACAAATTTTGGGTGATGCTGCAGTAGTAATAATGGAGGAGGAGGAGGAGGAGGAGGAGGAGGAGGAGGAGGAGGAGGAGGAAGAGGAAGAGGAGGAGGAGGAGGAGGAGGAGGAAGAGGAAGAGGAAGAGGAAGAGGAGGAGGAAGAGGAAGAGGAAGAGGAGGAGGAAGAGGAAGAGGAGGAGGAAGAGGAAGAGGAGGAGGAAGAAGAGGAAGAAGAGAAAGAGGAAGAAGAGGAAGAGGAGGAAGAGGAGGAAGAGGAGGAAGAAGAGGAAGAAGAGGAAGAAGAGGAAGAAGAGGAAGAAGAGGAAGAAGAGGAGGATGAGGATGATGAGGATGAGGATGATGAGGATGAGGACGACGACGATGACGACAACGATGATGATGATGATTCTCCAACTTGTCCTACCTTTGGACGAAGACCTACTTCGACTAGGGGATAATACCACTATGACCCTGCCTTTCCCTGCTTCGCCTCACCTGACTACAGTATATAAGCCATGTCTACGGCCCTATGCTGTACATTCTACAAGATTGATGGACCCATTCACGACTGCATATTGGAATGGACAGTGACATCATTTGTTTACTCTGAAACAGCCAAGCAATGGACCATTTCTCCTAGGTTGAGCTCTATTTCAAGGTACTTTTCATCATGAAAGCCATTAAAATCATATCTATTTCTGTAATATATCTCCATTCGATCAAATGAGACCAAAAAAACGAGAATACAACCATAAAAACCATTCGAAATTACCACAAAGGGGTGGCTGATTGCTGAGAAGTGAACCCCATTATTTATGCTTAGATTTCTTTCATTTTTGGTGTACATTAAGAAGCATCTTTCCATCATACATTGCCCAAGTTTCAATAAGATAGTCCAACAAACAAATGAGATACAATTCCCGAGATCAAGAGCAAGAGTCCCTCACCAGTGTCAAGGAACCTGCCTTGAGGTCTGTTCGCCTGTGGAAATTTTGCTCACATATGGAAGGAAAAAATTGACCCATCAACTGCTCGTATTTGGAAAAACGAGCACATGGACACGCTCACAAGTAGAGGTTTCACTGTATTGAAATTAGCCTCAAACTAACAGAAATGTTAGATTTTACTGATTTTCCTAAGGATGGGTAAAGCCCCCCTTCATCAACTGGTCTGTTTTATGGGTTTTTACTAAGTCTGATTCAATTACTGAGATGCTGTAAAGAATGACCATTCACTCCTGGTTATATTTTATTATCTGAGAAACAGGCAAACTTTGATTTTTTGCGATGAATTCAGAATGGAAGGCAGGCCTGGGGATGTGATTAATGAACAGAAGAAATATTTAGTGCTTGGAATATCTACATTGTTCATTTTGGACCCAGTTTTTAAACTGCAATGCCACACTTGTTAATGGTGATGGCTTACCAGCATATACTTACCATTCACCTTCATTAGGCCTATTAAGTACTGCAATTTTTTTTTTGTTTCCTAGAATATGAATGCCTAAATTATTTGAAATTACCCTTAATATATACAGGAACTAAGTTAATCTTTATTCAGTCCATACACACTCATTTCTAGCTTTACATATTGTCATGGCATTCCATAACAAATTCCATACTTTATAACATCAACCCAATTTATACTGCAAGTATGTATGTACTATTTTTTTTGTAAATAAAGCCTACAAATATTTCAGTTTCTAAAACTGATGAGAATATAATCATAATGCTACTGTGTCTGCAAAGACATTCCAGAGAGCATATAAAGCTATCAGATATTATGCTAATCTTACACAGTATGCAAAACAGAGAAAAACTGACCCATTCAAGTATGTAACTTACCGACAATGTGTGTGAACTTGAACTGATTATGTATAGCCAGGACTACAGGAGCAAGACATTCAGGTAGAAAGCCCACCAAGGCTTCTGAATCAGCAATGAGTATTTTGTTTACACCTGCAGCTTTGGACAACTCATTCACCACCTGTAATAACCATAACATTGTAAATTCTTGCATGTCTTTATGTAAATTACATCTTGTAAACCATTTGTATGTAGATACAGCAAAGAGAAGCCACTAAAATAAGTTATCTGAAGATTTACATTAGCATGTTCCAATAGCAACTCATTCAGTGATGCATTATAAAAATATTTCAAAAGCGTGTTGGACTGAGAATGGGCCATGGGAACAATGATCCTCAGAACCATCAACAGGTAGATGACAGTTTGAACATAAAACTATGTAGGTAACTGTTCAGCCTTCAAACATCTATGGTTTGATTCATGCACACTGGCTGCTACCTACTGTGTATGACACAGTGAATGGCAAAGCAACTTAGCAAAGATTTACTTTTTTTCTTATGCGATACCCAGAAGTTCCACTGCAGCTCTCAAGAGTGTAAAATCAAATTAGCATTACAGTTTAGGATTTTAAGCAACAACAACAACAACCAGAATTTAAGATAAGTGTACTCACATTGCTTAACTTCATTAGGTTTTGCTATAGTAAATCATCCTGTATCATACAATAATACAGCCTCTTCTCACTTAATGACGGAGTTCCGTTCCCGAGACCACGTCATTAAACGAATGCGTCCCTAAATGAGGAGCATACTATAATGGTAGTGAGTTTGTGTCAACCATCTCTGATATTGTTTTGATGTCACCTTTGCACCATTAATAAAATTTCTGGTATATTTTTAAATGTTTGTACAGTAGTGTACTGTATATTAAAATAAACAGAATAGAGGAAATCAACTCTAATATACATTATTTAGGTATGAATACTGGTCAGAGAGCCCGTCGTAAGTTTGAGGCGTTGGTAAATGAGTACGTCGCTAAGTGAGGAGAGGCTGTAATGTGTTTTCATGTGCCTATAACATCTATATGCCTTTTTAAATCATTGTACAATCCTTAATTTATTATTTTAGGTGAACTGTGTATTTAAAAGAAAAGTCATTTGTTTTTTGGAGGTGGCACTGAACATAACCCAAATCTACCCTGAAGTTATTTACCAACTGCATTCTGAATTATTATTATTATTATTATCATTATTACTGAGAAGTGCTGAACCCACAGGAGATACAACACCTGGGAAATAAGAAATGGGGGCAATTATGTTTAATGTCTTTAGAAAGTCAAAAAGCCATGGCTTTGGTTATTTGTGCTTATTTTGTTTAAATCTATCTTGATAATATTATGGTGCACTATAGCTGCAATGACTGTCAGGGAAAAACTTATGATAATGGTCAACACGAACACGCACACATGCACAGTGCAACAATGATATTTAAATATTTGATTATGGTGTTGCAGCAATGGCTTCAAGCTAGACAAATTTAGCTTTAGAAAAGATATAGGGAAGTACTGGTTTGATAATAAAGTTCTAGAGGAATGGAACAAACACCCAGATAGCACCACTGATGTGAGAGCTTTGGGTAGCTATATAGGCTTGACATGTATATGAGTGAGTGCGGTTCAGTGTTAGTTGAACCTGCTTAGTATAAGCTAATAAGACTACTGCAGTGTTCCTTCATTCTTATATTGTTGCATGCCTTGCACAGTATAATATTCCATGGCAGTTTCATGCGATAAGTCCCAACCTTGTCGGATACAAACACAATCACAAAACAAAATTCCCTCAAATTGGATATAACCACCCTGACCAAACATGTAATAAATCTTACATTAGCACAGTTACTGCCAGCCACCAAACAAGACACATCCCCTCCAAGCTTTTTTGCAGCAGTTATGGCATTAAGGGTGATTAATGCCACATTCTTGTTGTCATGTTCTGCTATGACAAGTGTTGACTGTAATCGGTATCCTGCAGTCTGTGAAGAATAAAATTATTACATAATCAACAAATAATAAATGAAAAAGAATACATAGTCTATACTTAACAATGCTGCATCTCAATGTACCTCAGGAAAATTTGCGATTTAATTCCACATATTTGTTTGTACAATGCTAAATGGTCAAGTAACAATTATCTGATAGGTTCTAAGAATGAAAGGTTTAATTACAGTAATGCAAAACAAAATATGATTTTGCTAGTGTAGAATAAACCTTTCTGCCCTAGACCTATGAGAAATTCTCATACTCAAAATAAATTAGTTTTACTATGGAAAACTACATGTGAGTTTGCAGTCAATAGTATTTTTTAAATGTATTCAATGATTCCTATAAACACAAATGTTATATGAATATACTGGTGGTAAACTATGCAATTTTAAAATAGGATAAACCAACAAAACCAAACTGTGATCAATTTCTTTTTCAATGAATGGCACTAAAATACAATCTTGGATTTTAAATTTTGGAAACAAACTAGTGTATACAATACATGTGCTTTTTACCACTGTCCAGCTTTCACCAGTACATGATGACTCCAAAAAAAAAAAAATCACTATCTCATTCATTTAATAGTTGTCTTGCCATAAAATCAGAGAAATCCCAATTCAGGTGACTCTAAACTGCAGCATCTGCACTCCTTCAGAATGTACGAATTGTATTTCTTGCCTCCAGGACTTAAGCTAGGCTAACTGGTTTCACTGATCCATATAAAAATGAAGGTATTACCAGGTATGCAAATACAGTATAGTGATGACAAAAATTGCAGAAAATAGTTAGGCAAAAGAAGGTTATATTTTGACCAAAATAATGTTAAAGCATTCTTTATCTTTCTTATTACATCTTGCTTATGCTACATGGTAGTCACGTGTGTCTTACTTTTACACATAAAAAGTTTAAGCCATTATTTTTAGAATTACTGGCCTTTTCTTGCCGTCTCATTTCTATACAATGCATTTATACATTTTTTTCGAGGATTTGACATGCCACTGGAGTGCAAAAAAAGAAAAAAACATTTATGAAGGTATTCAGAGAAAAAACAATTAGCTGGATTAGAGTCCTTGATGTGGGAAATACACAGTACTGTACAGTGGGAAGAAGTGCACTTAGGAGGGGTGAGGATGTTGCAATTATGAGGTCATTTGAATTGTGATGTCTGCACATTTCTAGGAAGGCAAATACCAAATGAATTACAGTGAGTGATACTTGTTTCAGATCAACCTAAAATAAGATAAGAGGTTTTTGGATTTTTAACCCAGAGGGTTATCCACCCAGGATAACCCAATAAAGTCTGGGAATGAGAGGCAATTAGTTTTGATCCAAGGGGATGACAGCTCTAATTTCTTGCATCAAGCACCCTTCATCAAAATTAAGGTCCTACAAGCCCTCCTTAATGGGTGTACTAAGAATGAAATGTCAATACAACAGGCATCTGATGTTATCTTCTTTATCAAGTGACTTGTGGCTCACATGATGATGTCTTTGGTTCACACCTGAAGAGCCTGAGTTTGATTCTGGCACAAAGTGAAGACATTAGGCATTTCCTTGCAAGTGGTGCCTAAAGTTACCAAGCAGCAAGTACCTGGGTGGTAGTTCACTATAGTGAGTCACATCCTGGGGAAAAAGGGTAAAAAAAAAAAACCACACTGGAAATAAGCCAGAGTGGCTTTCTCGGGTATCCTGGTCAGTAGCATCCTGGCATTCTTAGTGCCCTAGGAGAGATCATACTAAGGTGCCTTTTTCCATCTATCAACAGGACGGTCAGTCCCCCCAACCTAGTGCATAACTTCTGCATCAATAAAACACACTTTAAAACATCCAACAGCCCTATAACTGTTCTGAGCTTCAAGTAATAAAAAGTGGCCTTGAAGCAAAAAGCCTACAAAAATTCTTAAATAGTACTGGAACACTGAGTAAATTACCAAAATAAGTGTATATTACACAAAAATACAACAAATTTAAATACTTCACACAATATGGCTTAACCTAACCTAATCAAAGCTGAAATTATATACCGATGGAGGTAGTGATAAAAACAATGGGTGGTAGCATGTGGGGTCAGCGTTGTTGTTGGTGTGTTATTATGGTTGATATATCGATAATAACAATATCCACTAAAGGAAAGCATGCTTCCTGTACAACCACATCAATTTCAGTCAAGAAATAAACCTGAATTGGGACAAGGAAATTTTATCAATACTGACAGGGACAATACTGCCAACTAGCAAATAATTAAATTTTTAATTTACAATGGAAATTTTATTTCACTAAGTTACTCAGTTACCCTCAAATGGGGTATTTAACCCTAGGCAGCTTGATCACACTCAGCACATACACTGAGGTCCGCAGTTCGAGTTTCCAGTACGGCTGGAAAACATTAGGACATGTTTGCGTGAGACACCTGCTGTCCCTGTCCTTATTCACTTATCAGTAAAATGGGTACCTGGGTGTTAGTTGACTGGTGTGGGTCGCATCCTGGGACAAAACTGATCTAATTTGCCCAAAATCCTCAATATAACAAGCGGCTTTCTATATAGCAGTATGTCATTGATGTCAGCTAGGACTGTATACCTTGTACATGTACAAAGATGATTATAATAAAGTGGAAGCACTAGAGACAACATGAGAAAAAAAAAACAAGTGTGGTATGTCACCATTGGTTGAAGACTATGCCTAAAACTGCAAATGACCCTTGGTTACTTACCCTCATAGTAAATAATTCATTTTTTTTATATAAGATCATCATAACTGTTGACATTTGAGTATGAAGACTCAATAAAAGCTCTGAATTACAAATCTTGGGAAATAAGAGGTAATTAGGTTGGAAGCAAGGGAAGAATAACTTAATTTCTTGGATAAAAGTAATATACTATACAAATACAAAATACATATAAATTTAACTATATCAAGAGCCCGTCAGGAGAATCAAGGTGCCCCATGAAGGACCTACCTGGCACAGACGAGCAACATTCCTTCTGAGTGAATACATTTTCTCCGCCGTGTACTACCAAGTACTGGAAGATAACCAGCAGCCGGCACCCAAGATGTTGTTGTTGGGTTGATGGTCTGTGACGGTCCAGGGACTGTGTGAACCCCACTACCAGGTTGATGGTCTGTGACGGTCCAGGGACTGTGTGAACCCCACACCAGGTTGATGGTCTGTGACGGTCCAGGGACCGTGTGAACCCCACACCAGGTTGATGGTCTGTGACGGTCCAGGGACTGTGTGAACCCCACTACCAGGTTGATGGTCTGTGACGGTCCAGGGACCGTGTGAACCCCACACCAGGTTGATGGTCTGTGACGGTCCAGGGACTGTGTGAACCCCACTACCAGGTTGATGGTCTGTGACGGTCCAGGGACCGTGTGAACCCCACACCAGGTTGATGGTCTGTGACGGTCCAGGGACTGTGTGAACCCCACTACCAGGTTGATGGTCTGTGACGGTCCAGGGACCGTGTGAACCCCACACCAGGTTGATGGTCTGTGACGGTCCAGGGACTGTGTGAACCCCACTACCAGGTTGATGGTCTGTGACGGTCCAGGGACTGTGTGAACCCCACTACCAGGTTGATGGTCTGTGACGGTCCAGGGACTGTGTGAACCCCACTACCAGGTTGATGGTCTGTGACGGTCCAGGGACTGTGTGAACCCCACTACCAGGTTGATGGTCTGTGACGGTCCAGGGACTGTGTGAACCCCACTACCAGGTTGATGGTCTGTGACGGTCCAGGGACTGTGTGAACCCCACTACCAGGTTGATGGTCAGTGACGGTCCAGGGACCGTGTGAACCCCACTACCAGGTTGATGGTATGTGACGGTCCAGGGACTGTGTGAACCCCACTACCAGGTTGATGGTCTGTGACGGTCCAGGGACTGTGTGAACCCCACTACCAGGTTGATGGTCTGTGACGGTCCAGGGACTGTGTGAACCCCACTACCAGGTTGATGGTCAGTGACGGTCCAGGGACCGTGTGAACCCCACTACCAGGTTGATGGTATGTGACGGTCCAGGGACTGTGTGAACCCCACTACCAGGTTGATGGTCTGTGACGGTCCAGGGACTGTGTGAACCCCACTACCAGGTTGATGGTCTGTGACGGTCCAGGGACTGTGTGAACCCCACTACCAGGTTGATGGTCTGTGACGGTCCAGGGACTGTATGAACCCCACTACCAGGTTGATGGTATGTGACGGTCCAGGGACTGTGTGAACCCCACTACCAGGTTGATGGTCTGTGATGGTCCAGGGACTGTATGAACCCCACTACCAGATTGATGGTCTGTGACGGTCCAGGGACTGTATGAACCCCCTCTACCAGGTTGATTGTCTGTGACGGTCCAGGGACTGTGTGAACCCCACTACCAGGTTGATTGTCTGTGACGGTCCAGGGACCGTGTGAACCCCACTACCAGGTTGATGGTATGTGACGGTCCAGGGACTGTGTGAACCCCACTACCAGGTTGATGGTCTGTGATGGTCCAGGGACTGTATGAACCCCCACTACCAGGTTGATGGTCTGTGACGGTCCAGGGACTGTATGAACCCCCACTACCAGGTTGATGGTCTGTGACGGTCCAGGGACTGTATGAACCCCCACTACCAGGTTGATGGTCTGTGACGGTCCAGGGACTGTATGAACCCCCACTACCAGGTTGATGGTCTGTGACGGTCCAGGGACTGTATGAACCCCACTACCAGGTTGATGGTCTGTGACGGTCCAGGGACTGTATGAACCCCCACTACCAGGTTGATGGTCTGTGACGGTCCAGGGACTGTATGAACCCCCACTACCAGGTTGATGGTCTGTGACGGTCCAGGGACTGTATGAACCCACTGTACCAGGTGGAAGGGTTAAATAAGTTTATTTAGATACAGTTACCCAAGTTTAGGCGGTTACAGTTATGATGCTTAGTAAGAAGTGTGTAAATTACGTAAGATACTCCCCCCCCCCGAAATGATGATGATGATAATAATAATAATAATAATAATAATAATAATAATAATAATAATAATAATAATAATAATAATAATAATAATAATAATAATAATAATAATAATATTAATAATAATAATAATAATAATAATGACTTATTTGCATTCACCCAGGGACTGGGTTAACCGCAGTACCATGTTGATGGGCTGCGACTGCCCAAGTAGTTTTAATTGTGCTCTCTAAGTGGTTAGTTAGTTTATTGTTCTTACCTTGCTCATACTGAATGGCAATGCAAAAATTAGGATTATAGAGGTCACAATACGTGTTTGTCAGACCCCTTCTGAGCATTGTTGCAACTCTAGAAAGAAATATTATAATTTACAATTACTTCATGCAGTTAGTGTACACAATACAGTAAAGAATACAATCTAAAAAAATGCCCACGGTTTGTATAAGCCCCACTGCGGGGATGAAGGGTTGCGACGGCCCAGGGACTGTATGAACCCTGGTGGGGTTGAAGAGCTCGACTCTTCAGGGACTAAAGGAACCTTACTGCTGGGTTGAAGGGCTGCAAAAGCTTAGGGACTGAGCCCCACTGCTGGGTTGAAGGGCTGCGACAACCTAAGGATTGCATAAACATCACTGCTGGGGTTAAAGGTTAAAATGGCCCAAGGACTATATTAGCCCCACTGCTAGGTTGATGGGCTGCGACATCCTAAAGATTGTATAAACACCACTACTGGGATGAAGGGTTGAAATGACTCAGGGACTATATACCCTTCAAGGAAGGTTCCTTGATGTTGGTGAGGGGCTCTTGATTTAGGGAATTGGATCTGTGCTCCAGTTCCCCGAATTAAGCCTGAATGCCTTCCACATCCCCCCCCAGGCGCTGTATAATCCTCCGGGTTTAGCGCTGCCCCTGATTATAATAATCAGGGACTATACGAGCCCCACTGCTGGGTTGAAGGGCAGCTACAGCCTAAGGTGTGTATAAACTCCACTGCTGGGATAAAGGGTTGAACCAACCCAAGGACTGTATGATCTCCACTGCTGGGTTGAAGGATTCTGACAGCACAAATTCCAACGATTCCAAGATTTTTTTACTATTTTATTATATCATCAATTTGCTTGCACGTAAACGAAACTTAATAGGCATTATCCTGGCCCTAAGATGCATCAGCCATTATATATTGAAGCCGTTTTGAAGAGTTAACTGGGAAAATTATTAAATTTTTACACAAGTCTAATCTGCGCCTACACATTTGAATTTCACTCTCCGCTGTTATCCAGCTTTATTGGTGCCTTAGATATTTTTTGAAACTATGCCACTAGTGCCTTAGATATTTTGTGAAGTTATGCCACTGTGGATTTTGGAAGCTATGCGAGCCATTAAGACAAGAATGGGTTCAGTAACTTTGGTCATAGGGGACCTGAACTTAAAATTGGTCCAAGAAAACCATACCATGGGCGGGATTTGAACCCGCGGTCAGAGAGTCTCAAAACTCCAGACCGTCGCGTTAGCGACGGCGGGCGGGTTCAAATCCCGCCCGTGGTATGGTTTGTTTGCAATCATGTCATTACGATTTCGTGAGTCTTGTTCCAGTGCTTGGGAACCAGCAGGCATCAGGTTTCGTCCAAGGGAAGCAAGGGCATCTTCAGCTCCTTGAAACATAAACCATTCATCATTCATGGTCTGCATTAGACAGTTTTTGTTCTCGCATCAGGGTCATACATGATTATCTTATGGACTAGGTATATACGTGCATGAAAGCACTAAATCTGTCACCTTGTGTATTATTTTTATTAGTCAATATGGAGCTTAGGTCTTTTTCAGAACTTATCTGCTCATTAAATAACAGACGTCGTAAGGGGGCGGTCCGCCCCGGGTGACACCATTTAGGGGGGGTGACACCATAGAGCCTCTAAAGGTGACACTAATGACCAAAACAGTGCTGCACCAACATAAGAGAAGAATCCTTCGTTGATTTTGATGATTAATTTGGATGATGTGATAGATGATTTTGCGTAACTCAAGGCAAGGAAATGTAAAATCAGATTCACTGAGATGTTACCTGTACTCAAGGTCAAATGTAAGAAATGTAAGATCAGATTCACTGAGATGTTACCTGTACTCAAGGTCAAATGTAAGAAATGTAAAATCAGATTCACTGAGATGTTACCTGTACTCAAGGTCAAATGTAAGAAATGTAAGATCAGATTCACTGAGATGTTACCTGTACTCAAGGTCAAATGTAAGATCAGATTCACCGAGATGTTACCTGCACTCAAGGTCAAATGTAAGATCAGATTCACCGAGATGTTACCTGTACTCAAGGTCAAATGTAAGATCAGATTCACTGAAATGTTACCTGTACTGAAGGTCATATCGGAACTAGTGTTTCTCTGATATTGCAGTGTTTTTCTTTATTTTTCAATTTTTTTTTTCATTGTTGAAGATGAATAAATGTAGGATCTGTTGGTTGTACTCAAAGTGGTATTTGAGTTTATATTTCCTCACTATTACTACGATTATATATTTTATCATTAATAATGTTGAGAAGTTTTCTCCTGTTTGGTTTATGGCCCTTAAATGTTCTCATTGATAAACATTGGTCACTGGTCATGTAGTAGTGACCTAACTGGAGTTTACTTCCCCCCCATCCCCCCGGCCTTGAATTTCATAGGAGTGACACCAAAGATACCACCCGGGGTGACACCAGAGATTCCGCCCCGGGCGACACCAAAGATACCACCCCGGGTGACACCAGAGATTCCGCCCCGGGTGACACCAAAGATACCAACCCGGGTGACACCAGAGATTCCGCCCCGGGCAACACCAAAGATACCACCCCGGGTGACACCAGAGATTCTGCCGCGGGTGACACCAAAGATACCACCCCAGGTGACACCAGATATTCCGCCCCGGGTGACACCAACTCCAGCGACGCCTCTGTTAAATAAAACATGTATATCCTAGCAACAGTTATTTCATGTGCAATTTTTTTTATATTAAAGAGATATTAGCAAATATAATACATTTAATTTGGCACAAGCGACATGTCAGAGAAAATGAACGCTTGTTCATTCACAACATGGTAAAGACGCGCCATTTCCATATCTACCTCTAGCAGAGTAGGGGAATGGAAGGCAATCATGTTCAGTCCAATGTAA